CTCTCACTGTTGTGGCCTCTCCCGTTGCGGAGCACAGGCTCCGGACGCGCAGGCTCAGCGGCCATGGCTCACGGGCCCAGCCGCTCTGTGGCATGTGGCATCTTCCCGGACCGGGGCACGAACCCGTGTCCCCTGCATCAGCAGGCGGACTCTCAACCACTGCGCCACCAGGGAAGCCCTTTTTTTTTTTAATGTTAGGAAAATAATGGAAGTTGGTTAGACCAAAGTTTGCTCTTACAAGAATGCTGTTTTATCAGCTTCTGAACACCCTTCTAAGTCTATGGTCCTCAAGATCCGGTTGATAGGATGAAGTTTTGCAAAATAAAGCACCACTGAGTCATGCCTACTGTCTGCAGGAAGCAAAATTGACTAGGCCAGTGGTTTAAAAGATTTTTTTTTACCCAAGAAACCCCTTCTTCAAATGAATTGTTTCATAGAGAAGTTCAACATTTAAGGAAACTCTAAAGGACAGAGCTGCTCTGGTTTAAGCTCCCTACAAACCTTTCCCCAGACACACTGCAGAGCTCAGGAGTCCAGCACTGAAAACCTTGGGCTGTATCACTTTTTGAATTTCCTTTGAGCATTACAGTCTCACTTCATTACTCCTGTTACTTCTTGAACTTATAAGCTGGTAACCATAGAGCAGCAAATCACATCTTTACAAGGTTCCTTCTATAGTTATCATATATCTTAAGACCTTTTTAAGAACAAATTTTTCAATATTGTATGTCTGAGTGATGAAATCAAACACAGTTACTGCTTTTATGTGGCCGAGTTACTGCTTAATGGATGAAAAGTTTAGTGTTTCAGTTACTTATGAGCTCAGAACTCAATTCGTTAAAGTTATTTTGCTGAGTCATGCTAAGATATATTGAAATTTCCACTCATATTGGTTTTATATGTTTGGAGTTCTAAAATTAATACTATGGAAAAATCACTAAAAACAGTACAGCATAAGATGTGTTTAACTGGGAAGGGTGATAACAGTAGGTACTGGAGGACCAAACTTAGATTATAAATGGAAAGTTCTAAGTTATTTTATATTAGAGTGGATCAGTATTACTATTTATCATTTATATAGCATTTTATATTTGCAAAGTATTTAATAAATTTTATGTTATTCTTTACATATCTATGAAATAGGACATTTATCACATGAAAGGCAAAGAAATTGAGGCACAGAACAGTAAAGCAACCTGCCTAAGACAACCCAGTGAAACAGTGGCAGAAATAGGAATTAGAATGATCAGATTTTCTGAATCCTAGAATATCAGCTTAAATCACTGAGGTGTGTTGTTTATTACTCTATTTTATAAGATGAGTTTATACAAATAACAGTCAATTGTTTTAAAGCTGACGTCATTGTATGTGGATAAATCCTATACAGAATAAATATTATGTAAAGGATGTGACTTTGGTTACAAGAGTTTCAATGATAAAAATTCAGGTTGTCACACAAGTGGCATTATTTAGCCAATTTTATATATTGTGAAGTATAATTAATATTTTATTTTGATACAGGAGTTTCTCAACTATTCATGCCAATTGAGCCATGAATAGAACAGAAAAATGAAATCCACAGAGAATCTATAAACTTCATTTTCTAACTTATCAGCCTTCTCCCTAAAGTACCTGTGTTAATGCCAATGAAAAGTGAAATATGTTAAGCCACACACAGGAGAAGCCAGGGGACTCTTAATTTTTTTTTTTGGCTGCACTGTGTCTTCGTTGTGGCGTGTGGGCTTCTCTCTAGTTGCAGTGCGTGGGCTCTCTAGTTGTGGCACGTCAGCTCAGTAGTTGCTTAGTTGCCCCACGGCCTGTGGGATCCTAGTTCCCCGACCAGGCATCAACCCCGTGTACCCTGCATTGGAAGGCAGATTCTTAACCACTGGACCACCGGAGAAGTCCGGGGACTCTTAACTTTTAAATGCAAAATATTTTGAAATGTATTTACTTAAAAGCATGATAAACACTTTTCCCTGCCTCTTTTTATTTTCTTCACACTGGCAAAAGCCATTGGTACTTCATCATCTTTAGATAGGAAACCAGTGACCAGGGTAATGCCAGTCATCTCTTTACCTTTGGGCTTGATTAGATCATTTGCAAACATTATTAAAGACAACTTGTAAAGTATATCTGAGAACTGATTATACTTTACTTCACTCTTTTGGATTTCTAGATACACAGATCCATCATATAGTTTCTTGATTTTCCCACTGGGAAAATCTTTTAATTCCTTGTTGATATTATTTACAACTACTTAATTCTTTTATTGAGTAAATTATTTTATTCAGCCTATAAGGGAAAAAATGGAACATTTTTACCTAGATAGTAGTTCTCAACCTTGGCTGCACTTGAGAATTACTTGTGGAAATTTGAAAAATACAGATGCCTAAGTAAAGCAGAATCTCTGGCAGATGGGGCCTGGATACATTTTTTAAAATCTTCCCAGTGTCTTTTATGTGCAAAATAGTCCCCTAGTCAAGGTTTCCCTTTTTCTCCCCAGATAGATAGCTGCTAAAGTTGGGCAGTGGAACCATTTCACATTCCAGTCCACTGGTTCGCAACC